CTCCAATCCTCTTCAATTCTGCAATCTGAGGATGATCTTTTCTTAGCTTCGAGAGAGAATTTTTTTTCAGCACTGATGCTGTTAGCATTTCTGACAAATTGCTGTCAACTGAACGACCAGATCTGTATGTTATCTTCCCCAATGCGCACAGTTTTTCCATTTTGTATTTCTTTCTTTCTTGATTGTGCTCTCGATTTTCTTTTTTTAAAACTAATGAACAACATACCATACTTATTTTTGTTGACCATTTTTGATTGGACCAAATGTAACAATGTTGTTAAATTGTGATTTTCGGAGGTTGTGTGTGATGTTACTGTCAGATCAAGTTGACAAATTTGACATACCAGACACATTTCTGGGAACAATATTTAGAAAGGATAAGTAAAATAATGTCAGTTTAAAGCCTGAGAGAGAGAGAGAGAGAGAGAGAGAGAGAGAGAGAGAGAGAGAGAGAGAGACTAATATGGGCAGAAACAAAAAAATATGAAAAGAGAAAGAAGAGAGGTATTCGGAGCGTACAAAGAGGAAGTATATGGTAGGTAGCCCTTGTGATGAGACCCGTTGACCCATTAAAATAACATTAAAACAATTTTTTCTGTTCACGAATAGATCTTAAATTATCCGTATCATTTTCTCAGTTAAAGACAGGGTTTGAATTTTAATTAGAAATGCTCCTAAAACTGAACAGACCGCCTGGCATAATTGGACGGTTAATATATCATTGTTATCTGAATGGTATGTTAATCTTATGTATTAAACACAATCTTATGTATTAAACACCTTTCCTCCATCTTCAGTCTCAGTAAAGTGTTACAAATCTGATATATGTGTAAATGGTTAACTTCCCTGCTGGTTTGGGTGCCATTTATATGCTGCAGCTTCTCAGGGGTGAAGGTGTGTTGTCTTTTCTTCATTCTTATCCTGTCTTGGGATCACTCCTTTTTCAGGAGAATATGTTGATGGTAGTCCAGTTCCACAAAGAATAGATCACTCCCCACCCCCATTTCGTATTTTGTTCTACTTCGTAAAGTTTCCTGTTTGTTTCTTAGCCTCGCAGGTGTTCAGTGATGAAGAACCACACAGCCACTCACATCCTAAACTTTGCCCTGAGAGACGTGCTCAAGGAGACAGACCAGAAGGGTTCGCTGGTTGCTCCGGACAGGCTGCGCTTTGATTTCTCTGCCAAGGTTAGTAAGTCAGATTTTAGTTATGATAATAATTACATTGGCACAGGCCATGTCCAAGCTCTGCTGTATGCTCTTTGCACTTTACCACTTTTATCACCCCAGCAGACCCCAGAACTCTCAAAAATAGTCTTGGCTTTCTGGGAAGCACACACTGCAAGCAGCAAACTAAATGCTCAAACTCGAACAGTAACAATCTGACAAGATCTTTTGCTGTTTATATCCAGGTACCCATTCCAACCTGGGTTAATTGAGGAAATTTCATGTAAAGTACCTTTTTTGAGGACACAATGTCGAGCCCCTGACGGGATTGGAACTCAGGACCTTATGGTTGAGAGTCGAAGAGCGTAGTCGAAGGCATGCTTAAAACTACTCTCTGTAAAAGTAGTTCTCTAGCTTGTTGGCTTATGAAGAGCTCTTGTTGGTGGCCTATACTCAGGCAGGGGGGGGGGGGGGGGGATGGTGGTGATGATGATGTTGACAATGACCACGATGACAGTGATGATGATGGTGCAGGCAATTGATTTAGAAATGAAACTGAACCTTCCGAAAGCCTAAGGTTCCCCCCCCCAAATTATGAAATGAATAAATTGTTTCTTTTGTACCTCAGAGTGCCATGAGTGTGAAAGAGGTAAAGGCAGCAGAAGAGATTGTCAACAACATGGTGAGCAGAAACGAGCTGGTGTACGCCAGGGAAACGCCATTGGCCACTGCCAAAGCCATCCAGGGTCTGCGCGCTGTCTTTGACGAGGTCAGTAACTATAGGTAGTCCAAACCCATGTGAACCCCCCATCCAGGAAAAATGCCATAACTTCAAAAATGGATTTTCAGTTGGCCGGTGCTACTCGCCCCGATGTCGGGGGACTAGTGCCAGGCTACTCGCCCGATGTCGGGTGGCTAGCGACAGGCTAGTCGACCGAATTCGGTCGAGTAGTCTGACGCTACTGGCCCGTGGGGATTTGTGCGACCTCGGGTGGCTAGCATTTTCTGCCCATCCGGAGCTGATCACCTAGATCTAGTCTTAGTCTTCTACGGGTACCCACTACGGCTGGATCAGGCCGATTGCCCGACTCGATGGCCTGAAACTGAAAACAAACAAGTTTGTTTTGAAGCGACCAAGTCGGGCGATCCCATCCATAGTGGGCACCTCGTATTAGGTAGCGTAAACATCGTCTCGAGGCCTTCCGAGTGACATGAAGCTATTGAGAGCACCTAGCACACCTCTGTGATTGGCCCAAAGTAGGTTATATATGATGTTTTTCCGCCATCTATTTTTGTCGTCTTCCGAGGTTTCCCTCGCGAGTTGACTATATTGTTGTAGATCCCCTAGATCTATCACCCTTTCTTAATTATTTTATTATTATCATTCATTGGAATGCCGGTGACAAAGTTACTAACAATAAAAATGCAGCGTCGTGATATTATTAAAGATTGTCTAACTACTACCAAGATATTTCAATTGCCCTATCTCGCGCCTGAACGAGACTTCGGCGCTAGATCTACCTTGTCTTCTTAGCGCTTGACGGCCTGTGATACGAGTGTAAACAAACGTTCCAGGGCTGAGTTGAAAGCGATAAATTTTGTCTTTGGGCAGAGAGAGAGAAAGAGAGACAGGAGGAGGGGGGGGGGGAGAAAGAAAAAGAGAGGGAGTGAGAACGAGAGAGAGAGAGGAGGGGAGGGGAAGGGGGTGTTTTTGTTATTAGAATTATTGATTCCTGTCGTTTTCTCTCTCCGTCGGTTCACAAGCTGACCAGGTGCAATACAGTCATTATTGTACATATTATGGCCAGTCCCATCTTCATACATGACATGTATAATAATAATGTCAATTTGGTCAAATAATTGCAGTCAGAGTCAAACTTTCACGTTAGAAACCGATCCGACTCTTGAATTGGAGGACAAGGAGTGACCGAGTGAGTGACTGAATCTTGCGCGTTTGATCATGCAAATTTTAAAGGACCATGCGCAGAAATCCCCACGGGCCAAAACACTGAACATGCGCAGAAATCCCCACGGGCCAAAACACTGAACAGGCGCAGAAATCCCCAAGGGCAAGAAGCTGCAGGCCAGGCCGGGCTAATGGACCAAATCCATTGGCCCGGAACATGTGCAGAAATCCTCGATCGGGCGAGTAGCCTCTCTGTTTTCAGTTTGTTTTAGTAATTTTTTATGGCGCTCGTAACTGCATAAGTTAACATGAGCGCCAAGGGGTGGATGTCAACAGAAAAGTCCAAACGAGGAATCAGGCTTACTCTGCTCACCTCTTCAGCCTCAACACCACAAAGTCTGCTTCGACTATCAAGGCATCCCGGGAATAGCATTTCACAAGAGAGTGACAAACATACAAAAGAAGTAGAAGAAAAATGACGATAGAAAGGATGAGGTAAGAAAAAGCAGCAGTTCCCCCTATTTTGCTTCCCCTGCGTAAAGTGGATTCATTGTAATGTGATGACTCCACTCGCCCCGGGACAGTGAGTCGTCCAACAGGTCAACCCACAAGTCTTGGTACTTATTATTTTCGATAAGCAATCCGGTTGAAAACAATCCGTGAGATTAAAGTATATTAAACAGGGTATGTCCAATTAAAATCATTGTAAGTACACCCTTATTAAGAAAAGACAAAACATACAGATGCAAACACAAAAACACAACCCCCATACAAGCCAAATTTGTATCTTTATCTGCTCCCTTCTAGCAACTCATCTTGGCCCAGTAGTTTAGGTAGCCTACTAGATCTAATACTGACAAAGTCACCCCACCATAGTATGAGACTCCCCCCCCCCCCCCCCCCCCCCCCCCCCAGGAAAATGCTGTAACTTCCTTAAATGATAATACTCATCCCAGAAATGTATTCGATATCTTTGTGTGTACTTTCAGGTTTACCCCGACCCTGTGCGCGTGGTCTCCATCGGTGTCTCCGTGGAAGATCTGGAAGCTGACCCCACAGGCCCCGCAGGCTCGGTCACCACTGTGGAGTTTTGTGGAGGAACGTAAGTGGATTCATGGACCTACAATGATTATAATTATAATAATAATAATAATAATAAATAGCATTTGTATAGCGCATATCCCCACTCAGCAGCAGGCTCTATGCGCTTTACACTATATTATTACCCCAGCAGACCATAGAACACACCGAAACATTCTCAGCTTTGGTGGTGATGATGATGTTGACAATGACCACGATGACAGTGATGATGATGGTGCAGGCAATTGATTTAGAAATGAAACTGAACCTTCCGAAAGCCTAAGGTTCCCCCCCCCAAATTATGAAATGAATAAATTGTTTCTTTTGTACCTCAGAGTGCCATGAGTGTGAAAGAGGTAAAGGCAGCAGAAGAGATTGTCAACAACATGGTGAGCAGAAACGAGCTGGTGTACGCCAGGGAAACGCCATTGGCCACTGCCAAAGCCATCCAGGGTCTGCGCGCTGTCTTTGACGAGGTCAGTAACTATAGGTAGTCCAAACCCATGTGAACCCCCCATCCAGGAAAAATGCCATAACTTCAAAAATGGATTTTCAGTTGGCCGGTGCTACTCGCCCCGATGTCGGGGGACTAGTGCCAGGCTACTCGCCCGATGTCGGGTGGCTAGCGACAGGCTAGTCGACCGAATTCGGTCGAGTAGTCTGACGCTACTGGCCCGTGGGGATTTGTGCGACCTCGGGTGGCTAGCATTTTCTGCCCATCCGGAGCTGATCACCTAGATCTAGTCTTAGTCTTCTACGGGTACCCACTACGGCTGGATCAGGCCGATTGCCCGACTCGATGGCCTGAAACTGAAAACAAACAAGTTTGTTTTGAAGCGACCAAGTCGGGCGATCCCATCCATAGTGGGCACCTCGTATTAGGTAGCGTAAACATCGTCTCGAGGCCTTCCGAGTGACATGAAGCTATTGAGAGCACCTAGCACACCTCTGTGATTGGCCCAAAGTAGGTTATATATGATGTTTTTCCGCCATCTATTTTTGTCGTCTTCCGAGGTTTCCCTCGCGAGTTGACTATATTGTTGTAGATCCCCTAGATCTATCACCCTTTCTTAATTATTTTATTATTATCATTCATTGGAATGCCGGTGACAAAGTTACTAACAATAAAAATGCAGCGTCGTGATATTATTAAAGATTGTCTAACTACTACCAAGATATTTCAATTGCCCTATCTCGCGCCTGAACGAGACTTCGGCGCTAGATCTACCTTGTCTTCTTAGCGCTTGACGGCCTGTGATACGAGTGTAAACAAACGTTCCAGGGCTGAGTTGAAAGCGAT